CATCTTTGTAGATTATATAGTTAAGTGAAATAATTCTGAGGCATGAGGAAGAAGTGATGCTATAGCTATACACAAGCTAAATGACAACAGTATCTTTTATTTTTAAAAAAACATTTAAAAAATTAACTAAATAACAAAGTAATAAAATATAATTTTACCTATTTTTTAAAGCATAATCTTTAACAACAATGTATTTCAAAAGTGTCATTGTGACTCCTGAACAGTCTGTGCAAAATTTTCCCACTTCTGAAAAATCTGTACAGAGTGGTGAGGTGATGGTTATAAGCTAACATCAAATAGTTTCCTTTGACATCTTCATGTTCAAATAATCTTGATTCTTGTTCTTAACTTTGAGATCTTTTAACAAATTTTTCTGTTTTCACAGGGACTGAAATACTTTTTATTGAGAGTGATATAAGTTTTATGTTTCAAATGAAGCATATTTGCTTTTGTCTTTTCTGGTGTCATCATATATGCAGATACTGATGCAGTTACCTGTGTCAATAAAAATATGACTTGTCATGTTCATATTCCTGTTGTAGAAAAAGATCTATGAACTATACTAAGAAGTGTTTTTGTAATAGAAGCTTTGAGTTTTCATTTGCCCTCTTAAGGATTACAAGAATATAAAAGAAATTTCCATTCAAAATTTTAATGTAGTGAAGCTGTTTAAAAATTTTTTTATTCTCAAATTTTTATTTAGACAGGGTCTCACTGTGTTGTCCAGACTGGTCTCAAACTCCTGGGCTCAAGCAATCCTACGGCCTTGGCTTCCCAAAGTGCTGGGATTACAGGTATGAGCCATCCTGCTTGGCCTAAAAAAATTTAATGTGGGCCGGGTGTGGTGGCTCACGCCTGTAAGCCCAGCACTCTGGGAGGCCGAGGCGGACGGATCACGAGATCAGGAGATCGAGACCATCCTGGCTAACACGGTGAAACCCCATCTCTACCAAAAATACAAAAAAATTAGCCGGGCCTGATGGTGAGTTCCTGTAGGTCCAGCTACTCGGGAGGCTGAAGTAGGAGAACGGCATGAACCTGGGAGGCAGAGCTTGCAGAGCCGAGACTGCACCACTGCACTCCAGACTGGGCAACAGATTCCATCTCAAAAAAAAAAAAAACAATTTAATGTGGAACTTAATTCTCCTGTTTTATAGTCATAAATGATCTGTATTTCAGGTTTTTGAAATATGAAAATTGATGAAATTACATTGACAAAAATAATATTCTTCTGTTACTTAAAATCATACAACACAGAATATAGAAAACTGGAATTGCAATCATAGAACAAACTGAAGAAAATCAAGTGATATTAGCAGACTGGTTAAAAGAACTACAACTAAGGGCAAAATATACTTGCTTTTTCTTTTTTTTTTTCTCCCCCATCCTCATTTTTCTTTTTTTCCATTTATTATTTATTTATTTGTTTTGAGACAGATTCTAGCTCTTGTTGCCCAGGCTGGAGTGCAGTGGCGTGATCTCAGCTCACTGCAACCTCTGCCTCCTGAGTTCAGGTGATTCTCATGCCTCAGCCTCCCGAGCAGCTGGGATTACAGGCATGAGCCACACCTGCCTAATTTTGTATTTTTAGTAGAAACAGGGTTTCACCACGTTGGCTAGGCTGGTCCCAAACTCCTGACCTCAAGTGATCCAACCACCTTGGCCTCCCAAAGTGCTGGGATTACAGGCATGAACCATTGTGCCTGGCCTCTTTTTGCTTTTTAATTGACAATAATAATTGTATATATTTGTGGGGTAGTATGTGATGTTTTAACACATGTATATGTTGACCAAATCAGGCTAATTAACATATCCATCACCTCACATATTTATCCTTTATGGTGAGAATATTTGAAATCCACTCTTATTAATTTTGAAATATACATTACCTGTCATCACCTTGTTATGTACTTGTTATTTTTCATTAGTGCATTTTAAAGTCATTATACAAGGAATGCATGATAGTTGTTTATTTTAAAATGCATGAATTATATAGATTGTTATCTGCATCTAATGACTGAGAACAAATTCAAAGATTTTAATAATGCAAAGAAGTTTCATGTTGCACAGATGTAAAGATGTTATACTACAAAACTAATAATTTGTCAACACATACACACTCCATTAGGAACTCTTCTGTAATATTCTCTTCTAAAAGCTGTTCAACAATATGTAGAGCTTTTCTTTCAAATTCAATCTTCTTTCTCACAGCTGCTTCTAGTTCTGCTTTCCTAAAATTTGAAAGAGAAAGTTAATCTACTTATAAGCTTCATGTCCAATATTCCATTTTTTAAAATACAACACTAACCTAACTCACTATTTTGCCACTTAAATTTAAACATATTTAAAAAATTTTTTTGAATAAAAATATTTCTTTTTAGTTGTAGAGACAAGGTCTCACTATGCTGCTTAGACGGGTCTCAAGCTCCTGGCCTCAAGTAATACTCCCACCTTAGCCTCCCAAAGTGCTGGGATCACCGGCATAAGCCACCATATCCGGCCAAATTTCTATTTTCTAATGCTGTTACTTTTGATCCAATACTTTTCAAAAAGGAAACAAGCTACTTTTTGCACTGCACATACAGAAATCTTTATATACTCTTTGGTTAATGTCTACTTAGCATGCAGGTCTCAGCATAAGGCTTTCCCTGAAAACTCAAAACTAACCTCCTTGCCACCCACTTCCAACTAAATTAGACTTGATTATTCTTTCTCGTAACATCACAGCCTTTTCCTTCATAGTGCTTATCACAATTTGTAATTATGTGTTTATGTTAATTAACTAATTATTATTTATTCCTCTGTTCCACTAGACAAGAATTGTGTCTATTCTGTTCACCATATCTTCAGAGCCTAACACAGGTCTGGCATATCTTATACTCAGTAAATAATTTTTGAAAGAATGAGTAAATTAAGACCAAAGTCAATATAAGATTAATAAGTCTTCACAAAATGAAAATCATAGCTACATATACTTTTAATACCCTTCACATTCTATTCCTCTTCTAAAACTTTGTGTGATATGTGGTAATATCTTGCCTTTTGAGAACCAGAACTAGTACAAGACAGCTTTTTTTCTTTTTTTGAGACAGAGTCTCACTCTGTTGCCCAGGCTGGAGTGCAGTGGCGCGATCTCAGCTCACCGCAAGCTCCACCTCCTGGGTTCATGCCATTCTCCTGCCTCAGCCTACCGAGTAGCTGGGACCACAGACGCCTGCCACCATGCCCGGCTAATTTTTTGTATTTTTAGTAGAGAGGGGGTTTCATCGTGTTAGCCAGGATGGTCTCGATCTCCTGACCTCATAATCCACCCGCCTCGGCCTCCCAAAGTGCTGGGATTACAGACGTGAGCCACTGTGCCCGGCCAGGACAGCTTTTTGATGAAAATCTGGACTTGATGTAACAAAGAACAGAACAGGTTTCTTGGAGTGACAGAGAAACTTGGAGAGTGAGTCTCTGGCATATAAAGCAATAAAAGGGGAGTGTACCTGAAGTGGTGAAAAACAAACACCTTCTACAGACACTCACGCCTTCACTAGCAGTCTGAGTGCTTAGTTTGGTTTTCTTAAAGCCTGGAGTAGAGGAATGTTAACAGTCTATGTGAGAATTTATAGGCCTTCCCAGATCTTTCCCTTCCCTCTCATGGTAATTTTCTCTAAAAATAAAAAAAGGTAACTATTAGTTTTAAAATTGGTACAAGTAATATGAGATAAGTAGATATGCCATTGTAGTTGTCCATGTAGCTGTCATACCTTTTAGAAGCATCTTCTTGTTTCAAAGTAGTTGTCTGTTTAGTACCTACAACAAAAATACAGTCATGTGCCACATAATGACATTTCGTAAACGACGGACAGCATACAGACAGTGGTCTCATAAGACTAAAATACTGTATTTTTACCGTACCTTTTCTATGTTTAGATATACAATTGCCTACAGTACTTAGTACAGTAACAGGTTTGCAGCCTGGGAACAATAGGCTGTACCATATAGCCTAGTGTGTAAGTAGGCTATACCATCTAAGTTTGTGTAAGTGCACTCTATGATGGTCACACAAGGATGAAATCGCTTAACAACGCATTTCTCAAAATGCATCCCCGCAGTTAAGCTACACATGGTGGCAGTAGGTCAGGCCTACACAAACACATTAGGTACAAGATAGATTCCTACACAAATAACAAACTAGACCAATTTTTCTTTTCCACCTATTTTATGTCCAATCGTGTGTAAATCAAAATGAAATAGGAAGGGCAAGCAATTTGTTTTTGCAAATTGATTACTGTCTAATTTTTCTTGGTTAAAATGTATCTCTTTGGGGATTGAATTTTCTTCTGTATCACAGTTGCTTAATTAATCATTCCTGAAAATCTGAGATCTGGGTACTTTTTAGGGAAACCTCTCTCTCCGTCTGCCAAACGACCTCTTTGGGAGAAGAGGGGAGTCCGGCACCTCAAAGAACCTAGCACCCAAGCAATCTGGAAAGGAGGACCGGTCCTAGGTTCAAGACCAGCTGCCAACGCTGCCCTAGTCACTTGCCCCGAACCCCGGGGACCCTAGGCCTGGGTTCCCGGCGCCTCCACTGTACTTTCTCTCAGAGGCTGGGGCCACGGCCCGCGTGAGGGAAATCTTGCAACACTGGCGTAAAGGGGTGAGGGCCGGCCAGGAGATCTTTCCCAGGGGGAGCGGACGGCGGTGGGAAGCTTTCGGCCTTCTCTACCTGGGAGGACCCCTCCCCTGAAGCAGCCTTTCAGGAGCGCCCGTGCGCTTCGGTTTAGAACTCGAGATCGGGGTCCAGCTTTCAGGGTCCCAAAGTGAGAAGACATCCTTGCTCCTACCTGCGGCTTTTCGAGAGCGGCGAGGAACCCCGGCCTTGCGGCCGGCAGAACCCGGCCCGGTACAGTCCGCCATGGGGGAGAGTAGTCTGCGGAACCGGGACTAGCTCCGGCGTCTCGCCCCGAGGCCCCGCCTTCCTACGCGTAGCGCGAGGCGGACCCCGCTGGCGTGGGGCGGGGCCAGAAGAGCGGGCTAAGTGGCCGGAGGAGGTGGAGGCGGCTGGGAGAGGCGAGAGATCTGGCCGGTAAGTGGAGTAGTGGAGAGGTTCGGGGTGGCCAGGGCTCGCGGTTGGCCGTGAGCCGCGGCGGACTTGGTGCCGCGGGCCGACTAGGCCACGCGAGGTGGTGGAGCCTGCACACCTAGGCGAGCAGGAATCGGAAGACATGGCTTCCTCTGATGCCGCCCGCACGCGCGCTGGGGTGTTGTTCGCCTTGTAGCGCGCTGCGCTGAGAACCGGGCTGACCCGCGCCACTACTGAGGGTTTGGGGCTGAGCCTTGCCTCCGGGAGAAGCGATGGTCTCCTCCTGAAGGCCGCCGTTGCCTTGTCTCCGTGTGATACAGTGATTTCACTAGCTGCATTGATCACTTTGGGTACTGCAACTCCTAGAGAGAAATGGGATGGAGGGCATCTGAATCTTCACCCCCTATAGATAAACTTGTGTTGCACCCCAATTTTTGTGAGGTGAGACATTAAAAAATCCCCTAATGATTAGAATTTTGATTTCAGGTCCACCTTTTGGAATTTTTTTTTCATAAAAGAAGTACTTTGCTTTTTAAAAGCCCTTTAGTTCGTATTTGCCTCGCCTCTTGGGAGTACTCGAGAGTTTTTTCTTCTTTTCCTTCAAAATAGCTTTCAAAACTGTGCTCCTAGAAAACTTAAAAGATGCAATAAGGGCTTCTAAAAAAACACTTTATTTTCTTAGACAAACATACTAAGATTCAGTAATAACATTTCAACCTTAGAACTTTACATTTTCTCCTAGCATGCTATTGGACCAAAAAACACAACAACAAAAACTTTCCATTTTCTTTATTGTATTTACTAATAATTTATCACACTGAAACATAACTTTTGAATACTTAAATGTAATATCACGGATATTTAACAGTGTGTTTTGTATTTGTAGATTTTAGCGTCGAAACTGGGAGAAATAGGAATGGCTGTAGAGGAACTTCAGTCTATAATAAAGAGATGTGTAAGTATTTTTTTAATTTTTGTAAAATTAAATACCTTTCAAAATATGGGAAAGGCACAGATGGTTTTTAATTATATTTGTGGTCACTCAAATTGTTTATCTTCTTTAATCCTTGCTTTTTTTGACCTGTAAAGAACGTGAGTGGGGGAGGCAGATTGGATTATTTCTCCAGGTGACATACTTATCTAAATAACCTTTTACATTTTAATCCTGATCCTTTTCATAGGTTTCACTGGTACAGTAGATTTCAAGGTCATTTATTAAAGTATTTATTAGGGTAATCCTAATTTTGATACATGTGTTATTTACGTTACATTTACCTAGAATTTAAACAGATTTCCTTTTTTCATAGATAAGTCAAGAAGTTACTGTATTTAATTTTTATTTACGTACACATTTGTTCTTTTGTTTTTTGGGGGCTTTTTTGCCAGCAAATCCTAGAAGAGCAAGACTTTAAAGAAGAGGATTTTGGCCTATTTCAGTTAGCTGGGCAAAGATGCATAGAAGAAGGGCACATAGACCAGCTATTAGAAATTATTCAAAATGAAAAGAATAAGGTACGTACAATCTTGGTGTTTACTTTTCAGTCTTGGGAAGAGAATAATCACATGATGCTATTCATCCAGTCATTTATCCATCAAACATTTAAGAATCTACTTAAATTTTCACAGTAGGGAACTGAAGACAAAAAAAGAATTAGAAATATTCAGGTGGGGCGTAGTGGCTCACGCTTGTAATCCCAGCACTGTGGGAGGCCGAGGCAGGCAGATCACTTGAGCCCAGGAGTTTGAGACTAGCCCGGGCAACAGAGTAAGGCCCTGTCTCAGAAAAAAAGAAAAGAAAAGAAACAGTCATATACTTGAAGGTACTTACAGTCTGGTCAAACAGATAAACATGTAAACAACTAACAATAATGAGGCAAAATAAATAAAATAAGTGCTATAGTTGAAGTAAAGAGTTTTTAGAAGAAACAGAATTACTTCTGGTTTAGGGAGTCCAAAAATGGTGTTCGGGTTATTAATTTACATTGAAAAATATACATATCAAGCAGGCTAAATATTCATTTTGGGTGATCAGCCCATTCTCCAGCCAAATGTGTATGGAAAACCAAATTTTAATTAAAACAGTATTTTATGTGCTTAGAATCAGAACAGGAGGAAAGCTGTATGTCATTATGCTAGCCAGTATCATCCAGTTACAATAGTTTGAGAAGTCCTCTACAATAGAAAAGGATCTTATTTGTGAATCAGGAATAACTTTTTCCTGGGACACTGTCTTGGCAACACCCTGCCAAATTTTGTGTCTTTGGATACTCCTTATAAGGAAGACTGCTATGGTTTGGTTCTGTGTCCCCACCCAGATCTCACCTTGAATTGTAATAATCCCTGTGTGTCAAGGGTGGGACCAGGTGGAGGTGATTGAATCAAGGGGGTGGTTTCCCACATGCTTCTCATCATAGTGAGTGAGTTCTCACGAGGTCTGATGATTTTATAACCATCTGGCATTTCCCCTGTTGGCACTCAGCCCCTCTCCTGCTGCCCTGTGAAGAGGTGCCTTCCGCCATGGTTGTAAGTTTCCTGAGGCCTCCCTAGCCATGTGGAACTGCATGTCAATTAAACCTCTTTTCTTTCTAAATTACCCAGGCTTAGGTATTTTTTCATAGAAGCAGCGTGAGAACAGACTAATACAAAGACCATCTTCTTTCTAGGTACACAGTCTTTCTTCATTTACAGTGCTACTTATTTATTAGAAGTTTTCTTTCTCGATATCACAGTGTAGTTGTGTTGACCTGTGTTTCTCTCCAGGGCATCTTGATTGGATTTGGGAGATTCCTAAAACTTTTTAATCATACATTATTATAGCATCTCTTAGTTCAAACGGCTTATACCCTTCTTATTTTTTATTAAAATAATTAGGAGATTTTATTGTTTTTAATATATATTTATGATAACTTTGTAACCCTCAATATAATAAATTTTATGTTTTTTAAACTCTTCTTGATTTTTTTCTAATTGCGTTCTCAGAGGATAACCTTCGAAAGTACTTAGCTTTTAGCTAATAATAAAAAAATTAATAACTAATATTTATTGAGTATTTACATGTACCAGATGCTGTCTTTAGTCCTTTACATTTATTAACTTAGTCTCTCCAAAATCTCAGAAAGTAGGTATTCATTTTGACTGAAAGGTTAAATGACTTGCCCAAAAGTAAGTCAGCTTTTATGTAACATCCAAGATTCAGACCTGTGTAGCATGGTTTTGGAGCTCCTAACTACTCTGCTCTACCGCTGGTTAGTGCTATATGGCATATGGTTTTAGGGTAGAATACAGGGGATTGATTGATTGAGAGGGTGAAGCATCAAAAATGACGGGGTTTCTAGCCTCTAAAAGGATAATATATGGTATCAAACAGAAAAAGGCAGCCTAAGTAGAGGGAAAAGTTTACTGAAGGAACAAGTGATTTGACTTTTAGAAATTTTGAGTTTAAGTATAGCAGTCAATTGGAAAATAGGGTTTTGAGCTCAGTAGATACAGGAATTAAGATGTAGATCTCTGAGACACATATCTGTGAGACTTTAATTATGTAAAGATTGGGTAATTGAAGCATTGAGGGGTGAAAAAAAAACAAGAATTTACCTGAGTTCACAGAAAAGAGGCTGAAGAGAAGAGGCCCAAGATCCCATCTTGAGGAATTTAAGAAACAGAGAGAAGAGGCCTGCCAAGGAGATGAGGATCAGCACCACATCTATGAGGCAGAAGGAAAAGGGAAGTATAAACAAAGTATTTTTCAGGCATTGCATGCCTCAGTGTTTTATTTTTAGCATGCTTCTGAATAGCTAATGGGATAGATTTAAACATTGTGAGGCTTAGTCTTAATAGTTTGAGAATCACCTTTGCAATATGTGATCAGCTGAATGCAAAGGTTTAGATACTGATAAGACAATGTTCAAAACTGACTACAGGCCAGGCATAGTGGTTCACGCCTATAATTCCAGCACTTTGGGAGGCCGAGGTGGGTGGATCACCTGAGGTCAGGAGTTTGACACCAGCCTGGCCAACATGGTGAAACCCTGTCTCCACTAAAAATGCAAGAATTAGTCAGGTGTGATGGCGCGCCCCTGTAATCCCAGCCACTCAGGAGACTGAGATAGGAGAATTGCTTGAACCTGGGAGGCGGAGGCTGCAGTAAGCCAAGATTGTACCACTGCACTCCGGCCCAGGAAACAGAGTGAGACCCATCTCAACAACAACAACAAAAAAAACCGACTACAATTTAATTTTCTTGCCAGGTGAGACTATCAAAATTGACCAAGATTTACTATTATTTTCAACTGTAAGAGTGAATTGGGTGCAGCACACCAACATGGCACATATATGTAACAAACCTGCACGTTGTGCACATGTACCCTAGAACTTATAGTAAGTCCACTAAGTATTTTTTTAAAAAGTGAATTAAAGAAAAAATAAAAATATTTGCTCTTTACTGCTTTGTAAGAGACTATTCACATACTATTTATTACAGTATATTGTAATTGTTGTAGTTATTGTTAATCTCAATTTATAAATTAAACTTTGTTACAGGTATGCATGTATAGTATTTATATATAGCGTTTGGTACTATTCATGGTTTCAGGCATCCACTGGGGGTCTTGGAATGTACTCTCTGCAGATAAGTGGGGACACTACTGTATCCTAAGCTCTATTTTTATTATCTTACAAGACTGGGGTCAATATGAGGTATTACAGGTGTCATTTTGTCTTCTTCCTAGATCAGCTTTTTTTTAAAAAAATTCTAATTTTTGTGGGTACATAGAAGGCATATATATTGATGGGTACATGAGATGTTTTGATACAGACATGCAATGTGTAATAAGCACATCATGGAGAATGAGGTATCCATCCCCTCAAGCATTTATCCTTTGTGTTATAAATAATTCAATTATACTCATTTAGTTACTTTAAACTGTACAGTTAGTTATTAACTATAGTCACCCTGTTGTGCTCTCAAATAGTAGGTCTTATTCATTACTTATAACTATTTTTTTTTTTTGGTACTCATTAGCCATCTTCCCTGCCTCCCACTACTCTTTTCAGCCTCTAGTAACCATCCTTCTACTGTGTCCATGTGTTCAGTTGTATGGTTTTTTCACATCCCACAAAAAGGTGAGAACATTCATTGTTTTTCTGTGCCTGACTTCTTTCACTTAACATAATGGTCTACAGTCCCATCCATGTTATTGCAAATGACAAGTTGTCATTCTTTTTTATGGCTGAATAGTACTCCATTGTGTATACGTACCACATTTTCTTTATCCATTCATTTGTTGATGGACACTTAGGTTGCTTCCAAATCTGAGATAAACAGTGCTGCAATGAACATGGGAGTGCAAATGTCTCTTCAATATAGTGATTTCCTTTCTTTTGGGTATATACCCAGCGGTGGGATTGCTGGATCATATGGTAGCTCTATTTTTGTATTTTTTGAGGAACTGCCAAACTGTTCTCATTAATGGTTGTACTAATTCACATTCCCACCAACAATATATGAAGGTTTCCTTTTCTCCACATCCTTGCCAGCATTTGTTATTGACTGTCTTTTGGATATAAGCCATTTTAACTGGGGTGAGATGATATCCCATTGTAGTTTTGATTTGCATTTCTCTGATGATCATGATGCACAACTTTTCATATGCTTGTTTGCAATTTGTATGCCTTCTTTTGGGAAATGTCTATTCAAATCTTTTGCCAATTTTTTTATTGGATTATTAGATTTTTTCCCTTAGTGGTGTTTGAGCTCCTTTTCTATTCTGGTTATTCATCCGTTGTCAGATGGGTTAAATCTGCTTTTTCTTTATTTATGTATTGTTTTGAGATAGGGTCTGTCTCTTGTCACCCAGGCTGGTTTGCAGAGGTGTGATCACAGCTCACTGTTACCTCTGCCTCCCAGGCTCAGGCCATCCTCCCACTCATCCTCCCAAGTAGTTGGGACTTCAAACGTGTGCCACCAGGCCCAGCTAATTTTTGTATTTTGTAGACACAGGGTTTGGCCATGTTGCCCAGGCTGCTCAAGTGATCCGCCCACCTCAGCCTCCCAAAATGTTGGGATTACAGGCATGAGCCACCATGCTTTAAAAAAAAACAAAAAACAAAGACTGGGCGCAGTGGCTCACGCCTGTAATCCCAGCACTTTGGGAGGCCGAGGGAGGTGGATCACGCAGTCAGGAGATCCAGACCATCCTGGCTAGCACGGTGAAACCCCATCTCTACTGAAAAAAAAAAATACAAAAAATTAGTTGGGCCTGGTGGTGAGCACCTGTAGTCCCAGCTACTCAGAAGGCTGAGGCAGGAGAATGATGTGAACCCAGAAGGCAGAGCTTGCAGTGAGCTGAGATAGTGCCACTGCACTCCAGCCTGGGCAATAGAGCAAGACTCAGTCTCAAAATAAATAATTAACTTTAAAAAATAGAGACAGGGTCTCACTAGGTTGCCCAGGCTGGTCTCAAACTCCTGGGCTCAAGTGATCCTCCTGCCTCAGCCTCCCAAGGTGCTGGGATTAG